GGGGGGGGGGGGGGGCGGGGTGGGGGGGGAAAGACACCCCCCAGCAGACACAGAAACTGACAGCTACCGACACCCCTCTGCCTGGCAAGACCCACGGAGTAGCTACGGGAGGCAGGGGGGTGGATGGGGGGGACAGAGGGATGCTCTCCGGTACCACCAGCCGGTACCCACAGCTCCCCGGGCGTTTCAAACGGCCCCCAGGGCGCTCCGCTCCCTCCCCTCCCAACAAGTTTGCTGAGGTCTCCGTGTCCCCCCCATCGGAGGCTCCAGCCCCCGCACCCCCACGGTCACGGAGGGGCCGTGCCCCATTCCGTTCCGTTCCCCGGGGGGAGGGGGTGGGGTGTCAGCCCGGAGCCCCCCCCCCCTCCTTCTTCCCCTTGCCCCTTACCGATGGCCCAGGTGCAGCTCTCCTTGATGGCCCTGTGCTTGCTCCCCGACGCCTCCTTCTGCAGCTTTCGCAGGATTTCTTCCATCTTGCCTCCCCCGGGATGCTGGCGTCGCCGCGGGGGCTGAGGAGCGGGCGGCGAGGAAGAGGAGGAGGAGGAAGATGAGGAGGAGGAGGAGGAGGGCGGTGCAGGTGGCAGAGCGGTGCCGGGAGTGGGGGGGTGAATGGGGGGGCGGCTCCCCCCCACCGCGGCCGTGCCTAAGCGGGGACGGTGCGCGGTACCCCGCTGCCGCCCCGCCGCCGCTGCTGATGAATCACACCGAGCTCCATGGCGGGGACACGTCAGTTGTTGCCGCTGCGGAGTCCCTCCTCCTCCTCCTCCTCTCCCACCCTGGGCAGGCCCCGGTGGCGCAGCCGGGCGGGGGCCGGGCCTGGCCCCGCCCGCTTCGGGCACAGCCCGGCGGCTGCGGCGGCCTCTCTCCGCCCCGGGGAGTCCCTTCCCGGTGGCGGCAGCGGCTGCGCCTCCGGTCTTAGAGAGCCCACGGAGCCGGTGGGGGGGGGGAACGGCGCCGCCGGACCTGGCAGCAGCCCCCGGGGGAGGAACACGGCGCGGGCAGGCGGGCTGCGGCCTGGCCCGTTGCCATAGCGACCGGGCGGGCGGCGGGGGGGGGCCGCCGGTAGCCCCTGGCTGCCCTTAGGAAGCGGGAGGGTGGGCTTGGTGTCTGCCTGCCCTTTCGGGGCTACGGTTCCAGCCGGTGAACCGGGCGGCGTGGCCGCCTCCGGGGCTGGGGGCAGCTTTTTGGGCTTTGTAGGCCTGAGGTGGGGGGCTGGCACCTGCGCCCGCCCCGCCGCTGGGTGACCCGGGCCTGCGGGGCTGGGTTCCCGTGTCCCAGCCCGGCCCTGCTCGCCCCCCGCAGCCCCTCTCTCCCCGCAGCGTCCTCTGGAGCCACACGGGGAGGGATGGAAGGAGTCATGGCTCGACCTGCTGTGCCTTGAGAAGCACTTGCACCCGTCTCCCCCCCTCTCCCGGGAGGGAGAGCAGCCACTTCGCTGGCTCAGACCTCCCTCCTCCTCCCTTTCTACCCAGCAAAACTCCTGCCTTCCTCAGTTTGTTTTTTCCCGGCCTTATCTCCAGGCTAGGCTGCTTGCCCTTTTTTTGTTGACTGCATCAGTTAATGCTAATTGAATGTTTTAATGTCTTGCAGCCGAACATCTCTGAAAAGATACAAGAGGACAAACAGGATAGGAAAAGAAAAAGGCAGCAGATAAGAAAGGCAGTCCAGGTAGCAGCTGGCGGTATTAGCGGTTATGTCTCCTCCTGCTAATTGGAAGAGTACCAATTGTGAATTACCAGACAGAATATTGGCACCTGGTGAATCAGCCATAGCATTTCCCATAGGATATCGGGCTTTCAAAGGCTGTCCTTTATCCAAATACTTACAAGGGCTGATCCTGCCTGCGTTCGGAAGTATAATGAATGCATAATCCATAGTTGCATTTTAAGGCCAGAGTGTAAAACTTGTGTCTGAAGAAAAGGATTTAGAATGATGCCAGAAAGGTTTGGAACCTGATAGGGAATGCCTAAAGCTACAGTACTAAGGATTAAAAAATAAAAGCTTGAAAAGAAAGACCATTAAACTTCAGATTCCAGGATGTAAACCAGCCTCTAAGAAACTGGAGGTAGTTTCCCAAAGTTTCTTACGCTCTGCCGCCTTCCTTGGAATGGACAACTGGTAAGAGCTAGTGGCCACGGTTGTCTGTGAACCAAGATGCTGTTAAGTCAAGGCTCAAATTGAAGTGTGATGGTGAATTGGTGCCCCTCCTGTGTGCTTCCTCTGTATTCTGCAATGTGCTTAGTGGAAATGAGCATGGGAGTCAGCTTCTGACTTTTCAAGTCTTTGATTTTTATTTTTATTTTCCTGAGAGGAAAACAACAAAGTGGACTGTGATGGTGTTTGAGGTATTTTTAATGTAGAAACAATGGACCTGTGGAATGCTAAATAATAAATATGTATCTCTTCATAGTAAATAATTCATTGTTTATTTTCAGGAAGCCACTGACGAAACTGAATTAATAAATAATTCATTGTTTATTTTCAGGAAGCCGCTGACGAAACTGAATTAATTTTAATTTTTGGATTATTTTCTGGCTATGTGCATCATCAACTCACTAGTTAATTTCTCTATAGGAAGCCATTTGCAGCTGAAATCTTCACCAGAGCTGCAGTGTGTTCATAGATGCTGATGTCTCTGAGTCAAGATTTTTTCAAGAATAAAAGTCAAGATTTGTGTTTATTTGTGTTGCACTCACTGCCCAATGTCTTCCAGCAAAATGGATTCTGTGCTGCTGAACGCTTTTTCCCAGTAGTTATGTCAGCAGATGGAGAGAAATAAAGGTCATGTTCAGGCTCTCTAGAGGATAGTAAGGTCTGCCTATAAGGTTGTGCAGATGAAAAAACAAGTAAGCCATGATGAATCTTCCCGAGCAAATGTATGTCAGAGCACCACGAGTCAGCTTGCTGATGCTTTTTGTGTGAGGCCCTCCATCTCCAAGTGAACAGGAGTCCACCAGTCTTTGTCTCTGTTGTCTATAGTAAGCACATACATACACAGTAACCACATCTCCTGCTGGAAATCAGAATCATATGGGGTTGGAAGGGACCTCTGGAGATCATCTAGTCCAACCCCCTGCCAAAGCAGGTCTACACAGAGCAGGTTGCACAGGAACATGTCCAGGCGGGTTTGGTATGTCTCCAGAGAAGGAAACTCCACCACCTCTCTGGGCAGCCTCTTCCAGGGCTCTGCACCCTCAAAGTGAAGAAGTTCTTCCTCGTGCTTAGATTGAACTTCTTATTGTTCAAGTTTGCGCCCATTTCCCCTTGTCCTGTCCCTGGCACCACTGAAAAAAGATTGGCCCCATCCTCCTGACACCCACCCTTTAAGTATTTATAAGCATTGATCAGATCCCCCATCAGTCTTCTCTTCTCCAGACTAAAAAGACCCAAAGTCCCTCATCTTTCCTCGTAAGAGAGATGCTCCATTCCCTCGATCACCTTCATAGCCCTCTGCTGTACGCTCTCCAGCAGTTCCCTGTCCTTCTTGAACCAGGGAGCCCAGAACTGGACCCAGTGCTCCAGATGGGGCCTCACCAGGGAAGAGTAGAAGGTGAGGATGACCTCCCTCAACCCACTGGTCACACTCTTCCTGATGCACCACAGGATGCCATTGGCCTTCTTGGCCACATTTCTGGCTCATGGTCACCCAGTTAAGCACCAGGACTCCCAGGTCTTTTTCCTCAGAGCTGGTCTCCAGCAGATCAGCCCCCAACCTGTACTGGAACCAAATATACAGTGGAAAAGTATGAGACAAAGGCATGTCAGATAATCACATGTCTTTGCTATTGATCATTATCACTCATGTAATACCTGTGCTTTGGCCCTTTTAACAATATGCTTGGTCAAGATCTCATTGTTCACTGCAGACACTGGACAGCGTGGACCAAAGAGATGGGCTGTGTCTGTGAGAAATTCCAGTTTATTTACAAAATATTAAGAAATACTCTCTAATGACAGAAAAAACACCTGTTTCCATGGCTCAAAAATGGTGCTTAGCCAGATTTTGCAAAATTACTCGTTTTCCAGAAGCACCCCCCATGAATGAACTGACCAGAGTTGCAAAAGAAGCTTGGGCTCAGTTTTCCTTGGGAATTACAAAATATTAAGAAATACCCTCTAATGACAGGAAAACCACCTGTTTCCATGGCTCAAAAATAGCGCTTAGCCAGATTTTGCAAAATTACTCGTTTTCCAGAAGCACCCCCCATGAATGAACTGACCAGACTTGCAAAAGAAGCTTGGGCTCAGTTTTCCTTGGGAAGCTCTGTATGTGTGACTCCCCTTTTCTAGGACAAATTGCTCAAAAAAACTTGGAAGTGAAGGGGGCTGTAGCTGGGCCATGGGCTCACCAGCACCTTCGTGATACCAGAGGCAGTTACTCTCCCTTCTCTCTCCCAGAGTTAGGGAAAAACAGAGTTAAGGAGAAAAACCTTCTGGAGTGGGAGCTGTGAATACAGGTAGGATACATTCAGGGCTGTCTGGTCAGTTTGTGTTTACATTTATTCTGTAAAGAACAGTTGAAGCAAAGGTAAAGTATTGAGAGGCATGGCAGGATAGAAATAAGAGACAATACTCTCTGGCCCTGCTGAGACATACTTCTTGCAAAGACAGAAGAAAAGCAAAAATCCCCTTAATTGCCTTCAATCTACCATAATCTTCTCATCTCCCTGCGGAATTGCAAAGGCAATCGAAGAGGGGATCAGGAATGCAGAACAGCCATTCTGGGTCAGATCAAGGTCCTTGTTACCCAGTTGCTTATTTCTGACATTTACACATTCGTATAATATTCACATATAAAAAACAAACATGAAAAAAATTCTCCCTTTTATTCTTCATGCTGCCTCCGAATTCTCTGAGATGTGATTTGACTCTGTTAGTCAACAGTGCTTATTTCACCAACTTTAAGACAGACTTAGAAGATACAGAAGCGAATTTATTCTGAATTAAGAGAGTGAGATAGCTCCAGAACATAGTTTCGTTCCTATTTAGTATGCTTTTTTTCTTCACAATAATAAGTAGGGAACTTGCTTCAAGGAAGGTAAACCCTGGACTCCAGAAGCTCTTCCAAAGGAAGTAAAGATCTGTTACTCCCCATATACTTTTATCCCTGCAGACACTACTTCTCATCTCAACAGCAGAGCATGTTCAATACTTCCAACATGAATTAGGAGCCTATCGATTACTTACCCATCTCTCTGCCATCTGACTGGGCATAGGTCCGAGTTCCTGAATTTGACGCTTAAATTGCAAATTAACTGTAAAGTCGACCTGTAAGTAGACCTGTGGTAGAGTCACATGTTTGGAGGCTTTCTTGGAATGTTCTTCAAGAGAAGAGCCTGCTATAAACTGACCAATGAACTTGCACATTGAGTGATGCCCTTTTATATTTCACTACCAGTATTAATCAATGTGGAATCTATGCTCAGATTGTTATTGGCAAATACTTTCTGGAGATGTAATCAGAGGGAATATAGCATTCAGCTTCCAACTCGCTAAGAGCAGACAGTAATTGCCTCTAAGTCATGACCTGAAAATCCAATGCTAAGTGGATATTGAACCACACAAAAGCAGTTACAGCAGTAGTCACACAAGCACACAGCCTTGTAGGTTTGAGGGAGAGCACCGTTGCCCAAATGCATCTTTTTTTAAGGCTTTTGGAAATTGCTTTTACATTAAATGGAAAATATAGCAGAAAAACAGTATTTCCAAACAGGGATTTCAAAGC